GGACTTCAGCATAAGCTAGCTAAGGGCAGGTAGCACATAGGTAGAAGCTCTGAGTTTGTGGCTTATAGAGAGATGAGAGCGGTGTGAAGAACTAGCAATGCCACATGGAAAGGTCAAGATTCTGACAGCCGAGAAATTAAAGAGGAGGCAGAAGACTGGTTTGAGACAGGGTTTCTGGAGCTGCCAGGAAGGAGTTTGTTAATGGACAAACCAGGAAAGGCTTGGAATCAACTTGGAGAAGGTGGGGAGGTTGAGGTGAGGATGGGCTATGCTCAAGCAGATGGAAAGAGATCGATAGTGCTGGGTATGATCTAGGAAGGAGAAAATTCATTGCTTTGGGGTTAAGGTGAAAATTACAATTGCAACGCTTATAAAGCACTTATCTGTGCCAGGCACTGTTCTAAGCATTAATTCATTAGGCGAGAACATTTCAAATTTAGAACCCAGGAGTAGACCAGATAGGCCAGGGAGGACCAAGGAATGCAGAGTCATGGCTAAAGGTATGAATAAAACCATTCCAAAGAGTCAGTTATAAGATGGGCTGACCTGTTTAAAAACAGAGACTGTGCACCTATAACTTGACTACCTGTGCGGGGGTTGTACTTTAAGCTGGCGACAGCCAATTGTGTTCATCTCTTCCCAACTCAGTTCAGTGACATCACATTGGTAGCTTGAAATGGGCCACGGTAGGAGCATTTACACCACGGAAATCGGCAAATGCTACAGATCGAGGGTCTCCCCTCTCCTCGCCCCTGAGAGCCAGTTTGCTAGTACAGCAGCCAAGAACCATGGTGTATTTATGGGGTACTGCCTAGCCTATTTAATGAGTCCATTGAACAAGCACTGATTTAGTACAGACTTCGTCCAAGCTGCTGACTCTAAGGTATTGTGTAAGGCGCTGGGGATAAAGCAATGAATAAAGCAGACGCGGACCCTGCCCTCATGGAGTTAACGATCTGTGGGGGAAACAGAAATAATGTTAACACAATCAATTCAATTGTGAGTGATGCCACAAAGGGGAAATACAGGGTGCAGCTGCCATCTCACCCTCTCCACCTGATCCGCAGCTCAATTCTCGAGCATTTTTAATGGAGAAGCAAAGCACAGCAGCCTCCACGATTTTCTCACTGCTCGTGCCTCCAGCCCAGCATTTCCTATCAATAATAGGTAACTTCTTCAGTGCCTGGTGGGCCACTTCCTGGGTTCTCAGAGCAGTTTTCAGCCTTAGGGGTGAGAACCAATGCTTTAGCAGAGCAGTCTCAGCAAAGCCGACTCCTCCCCCACTCGCACCTGGCCAGGCCTAGCTCCCCGCCACTCTTCTGCTCCCCAGGACATCATGGTTTCCATGGGAACCCACTCACTTCAAAGGGGAACGAAGGAGACTGGAGGGGAGGAGGGAGAGTCAAGGCTAGATTAACCTCAACCTCTTGGCCCTGTCTCCGAGCTGCTGGCAACCTAACCCCCAGGTCCCGTACAGTACCTAACGCCGTCCAGTCCTCTGGCATGGACAGGTGGTGGGGAGTGGTCCAAGCTAAATTTCAACTTTTGGGGGGATAAACCCCAGGGCTGAAGTGGGGGCCGAGGAAGGAGAGAACTGAGCTGGATCCAAACCTAGGTCCCCACTCCATGGAGTCTCCTTCCTCAAACCCCCTCTCAGCATTGCTCCTGGGCCACAAACACAATTACCCATGATGTGCATCCAATAATGGGATCTGCTTGGATTAGACAGCAATCATTCATCTGAGCGGGAGCTCCGGCTGCCTTGCTGATTAGCCCAGATGATGCTCTGGTATGATCCAATTAAAGACAGACTCTGCCTCCCCTCGTTCCCCTACACACACCCTACACACACACACACACACAGTTTCCACATCAGAAGGAACCAATACATTTCATTAACACATCCTTATACACAAATAAAACCTCAGGGGTACGGGCAGGCTCCCTCCACTTACAGGCCCACCCCCTCCCTTTTGTCACACTGACCCTCTGCCACCCTGCAGGGGCCTGGTCAGGGAGGGGCCTCCCGCACTCTTACTTCATCTGTGGTTTAGGGAGGGGCTGTGGTGGGGGCTCCAAAAAGTCAGTGCCGGGTGCTAATCTGAATCGAAAGGCTCTTGTTACATTTATTGACATGAAATGCCGACCCCCTGATGTGCTTTGGAGCAGCCAGGCTGCCCCAGGCAGGCAAGTCTAATTAAAATTACCCGAACCTACAGGAGGCTGAGCTCCCTCCCTGGTCATCCCATAATGGCTGTAGAGAGGGCAGCTGGTACTAATAGGAGAGGTGTGGTTGTGGGAGACAACCTTGGGGCCCCTGGGGCAGGAGGCAGGGCAGGAAGGCCTACAGAGAAAAGAAGCCGGGCAATGGTGTTGATGTCAGCTCAGGCGTCCTGAGATGCCGGGCAGCCACGTTTGGCTGGGCAGTTGGTGGCATCCAACCTGGGATTCCTTCATGGTCAGATGGCTGCAGAGAGAATCTGGGCAAATGCCAAGGGCTGTGGGGTGGTTAGCCCAGTGGGAGAAGGTAAAGATCAGGTGTGAAGGTGAACAGCAAGAAGTGTTGAAGGAAGATATGAGCCTTCAGTCCTCAAGTGATGTCATGATGCACAGCTCCCTGGGGGAGGTGACCCACCTCCCCTGCACTTTGGCCTGGGTGGGATATGAGCCTGGGATCTTGGATCCCATGGAGCCCAGTGGTGGGAACAAGTGAACCCATCTGCTTTGTGCCAGACACAGGGCCAGGTGCTTAGATGGGTTGTCTCATGAATTCTTACCAAACCTGCTGATTAGGTTGTATTATGAAACTGAAGCTCAGAGAGACAAGTACACAGAGGAGGTGGGAGTCAAGCCTAGGTTGCCAGAAACTTTTTGTTACACCACTAATCTGAGGGTCTTTCTAGACTATGATCTGTGCTCACTACAGGTCCCTGCCCCTTAGGGGTCTGGGAAGGTGCCTAGGACCAGTTTGAATCACCTGGGATCTTGTTAAAGTACAGATCATGAACCCTTAGGTCTGAGTGGGGCCCAAGATTCTGCATTTCTAATCAGCTCCCGGGTGATGTGATGCTTCTAGTCCATGGGCCATACTTTGAGAAGCAGTGATCTAAATGGAGTCTGATGGCCGTACCCCCAAGTCATCAGACCATCAGGCATGGTACTCTCCTCTCCCTTCTTACACTCTCCACAAAAGCACACACCCAACCACACAGGTTAATTTACAGGTGCGTGTGCAGCCTCATCTCCCCACATCCAGCTGCTCTAGCCACTGGCTGTTCCTGGAACACCTCAGGCTCTCCTCTCCCTGGAAGGTCCTACTCCACCCCATCTCTCCTCCTGGTGAACTCTCTTACTAGCCTTTAAGATCCAACTCAAATATTGCCTCCTCTGTGAAGCCTTCTCCGTTAAAGCTCTGACTACACTGTGTTGGTCTCTTGTATGCATATCTGTCCGTTCCTGGAGAGACAGGGAAGAGACCATGCATTTACCTTTATAGGTTGACCCTCTTTCCCCTGGAGTCCAGCACAGTGCCTCCACATAGTAATAGTAAGGGTTCAGTGAAAGAGTGTGAAGGAAGCAGGGAAGGGAGGACAGGAGTGCCCTGACTCTCTGACAGGTGCTGTGACCAGATCCAGGAGTACTTTGCAGCCCAAGGCAGAGCTCTCTACCCGCAGGCAGTGGGGCCTGCCCTGTGCATTGGGCAGAGCGGGGCCCAGGCCCTGAGTTTCATCCTTCCATCAGGGCAAGGGAAGGACATTTGCCAGGATCTATGGATCAGGGCTGCCCACTGCTCTGGACTCCCAACTGTTGGCATTAGAGGCATTCAGCTCATCTGAGTAACTAAAAATAATGCCAATGATAGTGATAATAACAGCAATAATTACCACCATTACCATAAAGGCGCTGTCATTTGGAGAGTGTGAGGATCAGTCTTCTTCCTATTCATCTCCGGTTGACCATTCCACATGTACTGGCATTAGCACCTGTGGCAATGTATGCCCAGCCAGAGGGAAGCCATGCTTGCTGATCCCTGGGAACGTATGTGCTCACACAAGTGAATATGAGCAAGGTCCAACCTCAGTACTAAGAGCTGATTCAGGCATCTTTTCTTAGTGGTGTGGGCTCCCCATGGATAAATGATGACTAAAATCCCGCTGGAGCCTCGGTCAGGCCTGCTCTGAGATGACTGCATCTTCTCCCCAACCATGTGCACAAGACAGACAGGAATTTCCCTAAGCCCCTCCCCACCCTCTGTAAAGTTCAGGGCCCAGCCCTGGGTGCATGGGCTGACGCAGAGCAAGATGAGACAAGCTGCCTGCTCCCAGCAAACTCCCCATCTGGGGGAGGCTGCTAGAACCTACACAGTTGCACACAACACCTGTTGCTAAAAAACAGACTGTCATGAATCGAAATGTGGTCCAAGGACCAGTTGCATTAGACTCATCTGGAATGCTTTTTAAAAGTTCATATTCTTCTGCCTATAGCTTGACCTACTGATTCAGCATTTCTGAGCATGGAGTCCAGAAATATGTGTCTTAATAAGGTCTCCCAATGACTTGGGGGCATAGTAAAGTGTGTGTAGTACCAAGGCCTGGATGGTGCAATCAGATGTCCAGTGCTCTGGTGGGCTTGTTGGAGTGAAGGCAACAATGGGGGACAGGCAGAGAGAGAGAGTCCCTAGGCAGCTGCCTGTTTGTGAGCTGAGGGTTTCTGATGCTCGTTAGGGCTCATCTCCCCAGAGGCATGAGGAAACGGTTCTCCTGGCAGATACTGCCCAGGCCCTCATATCCCTCACTAGACAATTCCGGGAAGCTCGAGTCAATCCACAGTGGCCAGCTGAGAGATCTCTGGATTGATTTGAGAGAGAAAGCGGTGAAGAGAGCAGCTGCTGGCCATTGTCTTCAATGAGCCCACCCACCAGCCTGCATTCTCATCTCTCAGGGCTGAGCTGGGCCTGAGGCCGGTTGGGGGTTTCTGAACATGGCTGAAGTGTTTCCTACCTGTACACAGCTCGCTTGTCAGCCTCCAGCTGGGCCTGGGGGTCAATGGGGGCACTGGGCACAGGCGTGTTGGCAGCAGCCGAGGGTGCCGAGATGTGGACAGCCTGGGCCTTGGAGGGTGCCTGAGCAGTTGCCGTCATCTGCAAAGGGAAGAAAGAGGAGGCAGCAGGTTAATGCAGCCAGGACAGCTGGTTCCCCACCTGGAGTGGTGAGGTCTACCTTGGCCTGTTGTGTGTGTGTGGATAAGAGAATTGTGAGTGTATAATGAGCGTCCATTTGTATGTTTGCTACAGTGGGAAGAAAGCAGGCCTTTCTTCAAGTAAGAAAGTTCTAGAGAACAATTTAGGACCATCAAAAACAAAGTGGTGCACCAGCAGACAATGCAAATTAAGGTGGTGACCTCTGCCCAGAAGCAGAAAAAAACAAAAGACGAACCCTTTAAATTGTGCATATCAGTCATTTAGGCTGTACTGGGCAGTAATAAGTTTGATTTGATGACTTTGAAGAACAGAAAAAAATAAATAGCAGGGCCGGCCCCGTGGCTTAGCGGTTAAGTGCACGCGCTCCGCTGCTGGCGGCCAGGGTTCAGATCCCGGGCGCGCACCAACGCACTGCTTCTCCGGCCATGCTGAGGCCGCGTCCCACATACAGCAGCTAGAAGGCTGTGCAACTATGACGTACAACTATCTACTGGGGCTTTGGGGGGAAAAAATAAATTAATTAATTAATTAAAAGAAAAAAAATAGCTAAATTAGTTCTCATTTGGACAGAGGTTTATTCCATTTAAAATGAACCAGAGGTAACTATTTTAAAGGCTTTGATTGATAACTGAACGGTTCTTCAAATTTGGTTTACCCGGGCACTTGAAGATAAGTTTTAGTGGACAATGGACAGATTTCTGTTCTCAGCCATAACAAATGTCCAGGGTGGCGGTTTTCATCCTATGATACATGTTTTTGAAGGTACCCCGAGGGCCCCAATTTTGTGCCAATCAGAGTAACTCTTTTCAATATTATATATTGGACTTTCTGTATAAGATTTCATTTAAAGAAATTATTAAATGTCTTTAAACTTTTTGATAACCATCATTCCAGAATTTAATGCTGTTATATTTTCTGTGGTCAAATGGATCCCTAAAACGTCATGAATGGTGGCATGTCCCCCTGTTCTCTTCCACCAGCCTGTCCATAGCACCAGGATAGCTCTTCCTACCTGTGTTGTTGGGCTTGATGTACTTGTCTGCCTCCTGCATGAAAGCCATATTCACACCTTCATCCCCAGCACCCAATTGACACAGAGTAGATGCTTAGTATTTGTTGAGAAAACGAGTGAATAAATGAATGAATACACCTCGAAAGAATCAGATATTTTACAGCTGGAAAATTCATCCATGCTCTAGGTCTCTGCTTTCTAGAAGAAAAAGTATTGTATTTCCATGAACACAAGCACATTCTTGCTGGTGCTGATATCCCCAAGAGATTTGCTGTCTCATTTTCTTCATTCAGATCTCTGCTCAGATGCCACATCTTCAGTGTAAAATAGAACCCCTCTGCCCCTTGTGATCACCTCCTTTGCTTTATTTCATAGCCCTTACCATGACCATATACTGTATACCTACTTGCTTAGTTATTTTCTCTCCCACTCCCAACTAAAATTTAAGCTCCAAGACAGCTTGATTTGTATCATATTCCTAGGGTCCAGAATAGCCTGGCACTAGTAGATGCTCAATAAGTATTTGTTGAATCAAAGAATTAATGAATGATGGATGGTGAACGAGATTGAGACTATAAAAGAAATAATATCTGCTTTACTATACTGTATCCCCATCATTTTTTGTTAGGAAGAAATATCCTTGTCACTATTGGCTGAGCTGGGGCAACTTTCCCAAACTCAGTGTATATGAGGCTAGGCATAGCATCACTGTACCTTGAAGTCAGCAGACAATTGCTTGAATCCTATTGTTTCCCACTACCTATTAGCTTTTGACCTTGGACAAATCTCTTAACTTTCCTAAGCTCCTATTTTCTCAACAGTAAACAAATTGTTTTACGCCTTTTAGGAGTCATGTGTATTAACGAGGTGCTATAAGGAAGAGACGGTCTACTGGTTAAGATTTAGGGTTCTCACCCCTGCGGCCTGGGTTCACATCTCAGTCAGGGAACCACACCACCCATCTGTTGTCATATTGTGTTGGCTGCACGTTGCTGTGATGCTGAAAGCTACGCCACCAGGATTTCAAATACCAGCAGGGTCACCCATGGTAGACAGGTTTCAGCAGAGCTTCCAGACTAGAAAGAAGGACCTGGCCACCCACTTCTGAAAAAAATGGCCATGAAAACCATGTGAATAGCACTGGAGCATTATCGGATATAGCACCAGAAGGCGAGAGGATGGCACAAAAAGACGGAGCAGGATTCAGCTCTACTCTACACAGAGTCCCCAGGAGTCAGCATTGCCTGGATGGCACTAACAATAAATAAGGAAGAAAGTAGAAACACATGTTGTTCCAATTTTCAAAACAGAGGAAGAAGATGGAATCAGGGAAACTAAATATGTACTGCTAATCTTCACATTGATCTGGGCCAGTTTCTTTCATTTACTAATGCAACTGATCATTTCTTCAAATACTTCTCCAGTTCCTGCTGTGTCCTAGGCACTGTGCCAGGCACTGGGGTCACAAGGACAAGTTTCTGGCTTTAACATGATTACTAAACTGGCAGATCAGGAAAATATGGTAGACATGGATGGTGTGAGTGACCTCAGCAAGGTACCTCCCATGATATTCTTGTGGGAAACATGGAGAGATGTGGCCCCGGGGACAATTGCATGGATTAGTAAGATACAGCCAAAGGATGACAATTAAAGGAGAGATGTCAGCTTGAGGGAGGCTCTAGGAGAGTGCCACATGCCTTCCCTTAGCTGTCTGCCTCAATATTTTTTATCAGTGATTTAGAGGGTGTCTGAAGAAATGCTCAACAAATTTATGGGTGACATGAAACTTGGATCCAAAAGATCTTTATAGATTTTGGCAACAGGCTAAGTCTAATAAGATTAATTTTCATCTAATAAGTCGGCATTTAACACTTCTAACACTTGAGCCAAAAAAAAAAAAATAATAAGTGCAGAACAGGGTAGACATGGTTTAGCAGTAGTGTTTTAGTTGATAGCAGACTCAATATGTCCAAAGTGTAATGTGTCTGTCAAAAAGCCAAACAAACAAAAATAATCTAAACTAATGCTCTCTGAGTCTGTGTTAACAGAAGCCTAGCTCACACAAAGCTCCTAGTCCCATCCACTCCACTGAAACAGGTGCAGGAAAGTGCATGTAGAGGAGAGTGGACCAGCCTGGGGAAGGGATTCTGCACTACGTCGTATAAGGAATATTTGAATCTGGAATGTATAAGAAAGACTTGGAGGATGGGGGAGATGGAGAGACAAGAGAGTCCTCTTTGAATATCTGAACAAGGGATCGGATTATATCAGTTCTGTTCTGTGTGGCCCAAAGGGTCAAATGACAAACAATGCATTAAATCTATATAACATGGAGACAGATCTGGCTCAACCCAAATAAGTTTCCAAGACACTGAGCTCTCCAAGGCTGGAATGAGCTGCCTCCAGGAGGTGGTGAGTTTCCATTATTGCAGAGACCAAGCAGAGACTGATTCATCAGGCCCCTGGGGAGGGGATGGACGTTCCCTAGCTGGGTAGCTGGCTTAGGCGACATCTGAAGTCCCTGCCGCTGTGAGTGCGTCCGAGTGCTTTAATAATCACTGCCCACTGCACAGGGTTGGCGTGAGGCTCAGATTAGATGATGTATAGTATGTAAAAGTGCTTTGGAAACTCTAAAGTGCTTCCCAGATGGAGGGGTGGTTGTTGTCATTAAACATGAGATTTCCAGAATGTGCTTCTTTCATAAAGCAAGGCACAGCTACGTCTGCACAGCTCGTTTGAGGGTGAAATATAGGGTAGGCGGCTGTCCTCTGCTCTGCTCACTAAGGGTGAATTTCCTATGTCTTTGAAGGAATCCACAAGGGGCTTCCATGAAGATGAGCTTCTGGGGAGAGAGTGGGTTGAGGGGAGATGATCCTTTTCCTCTCACCTCCTCTTCCTAGGCAGAACTTTGGGGAAAGGTGGGGGGAAAGCCTTGCTGGGTTACAGAGGAAAGCACAGAATGAAAATGTAAATCAAAAGTGGTCACTTGCCAGCATCCCAAGAGGCCCCAGCTGAGAGGCTGTTACTGGGGCTCAGGGGGGTGGATGGGGAGGAAGAGAGAGCAGAGTGGTCTGAGGAGGACAATGATTCAAATTTATTTAGCTCCTGGGGGCCAATTCAGCAAACTCTGCATTTCCTCCAGGTTTGGAGAATGAGTATTTATCTCCAAATAGATTTCTTTTTCTAGCCAGAGACCTCCATTTCCCAAGAACTGGCACTCAAAAGGAGAGGCCCTGCTGCAGGGTCTGGGGGAAAGGGTGATAGAGGTGACGTGTGGTGAGGTTTTGCGTGGAGGTTACTGGGCAGCACAGCCTAAAGAACAGGAGCAGGGGGAGAGGCTGGGTGGACCAGAGGCAGGGCATGACCATTAAATGACACATTGGAGCTCCCTTGTTCCGGGCTGTGAAAGCCAACTTACATTTTCAGGAATTTTGCAAGCTGATTGACTTCACATTGGTAGCTTGAAATTGGCCATGGTGGGAGCACTGGCATCATGGAAATTGTCAAATGCTGCATAGGAGGGCCTCTTCCCAACCCGCACCCAGAGAACTGGTTGTTAAATATTTACCAGCACACCACTAAGGTCAGGGTTTCTCTCCAAATAACTTTCTCCTATTCTCTTCCATCTGGCATGTGAAGAAACTCACCTTACACACTCCATGGGGTCATCTGGTGTGTCCACAGCCGGTCCTAGAACCGGCCACTCCAGACTACCAGCCCTCCTCTCAAGGAGACCTTAGAGCACTTTGGAGATCCTGCCTCGGCAGCAAATTGGGGACAGGGTGTGGGTATGGCATCATACAGACGGGGGTCGGGGGGGCTGCCCCCTTTTTCAACAAGGGAAACTGAGGCACAGAGGAGGAGAGGCAAAATTGACCAATATCTTGAGAGCTTTGCAGGCGATCAGAAAAGCCTCAGAGAGTAGAAG